AAATTTCAAAAATATATTCCACATGCAGATCTCATTTTCTTCTGACCACAGTAATCTTTACACCTAGCTACCTATACAAAATTGAAGATTTTTAAAATTTCTTTCAGATGAGGTAGACTCTTCAAATTTTTGTCTCTTTTTTTTTCACTGAACAGCTCTCTTTTCATATGGGCCAGAAATTTCCATTTATTGATCATCTTGGGTGTACCTGAAACTAAGTTAGATGTTACTTTACTTCTTTAACTTTCACAAAAGTCATAAGCGTCAACCTTATCACAGATGAAGCCTAGATACAGAGAGTTAAGTCTCTTTCTCAAGGTACCATTTTTCATAGGAGATAGTGTCACGATTTGAACCCAGATGTAAATGACACTGAAAGTTCAGACTTTACTTTCATGTTACATAAAGGCAGGGTTGCTTTCAAGTGATACTGGACAGAGAGCATTAGGTTTCAAAGGGCCCATCATTACTTGAGATGCTACTGATTCTATTCATCCAATAGATACTGACTTCCATGATACACAAAGTCACCGACATGCCAAGCAACTACCTCTAGTTCCCTTGCACCTTTTTGTTACATATTTCCACCTCATTTTCCCGACCTCTAGTTTCATCTTCTCCTTGCTTATACCTACCAATTCGACTCAGTTACTGATTTCACCCCAGGTTTTCCTTTCAAATTCTGTTCATCTTGAGCCCTTAGCCACCTGAACTCTTCACTACTTGGGTAGACTAGTCACCAATAGTTGTAAACTCATGACCACTTGCTAATATATTAACTTGGCATTTCAAGTGCTGGCTTTGACTCATGAAGGCTTAATACTCACCAATAAACAGAAAACTTCCTTCTGGACTCTTGACAAGTACAATTTCACTTTAGTGTGTTTCCTGACCAACGGTTGACAATATTTTACTCCAAAATCCTCAAAACCCAGTGTTACAGGTATTTTAGTTCATCTGAAAACCAGCCTTTAGTTCAGCCTGAAAACCAGTGGAAAAATATAAGCTGAACAGTTGCAATTTTGTTCCTAGGCTTTCTTATTTCTATTGGAGACTCATCTTTTCCCCTTTATTATGTCTGAATTACGAACCTCTGCACTGATATATCCTATGGGCTTTCTCATTCTGACTTGGTTTACTAATACTCACCTGTTTTCCTGACACCCCTGGCTTGGACTAAGCAATACAATTCTCGTTTCTGCTGACTCTGCTGACTCTGCTGCTATGTAACAAAGTATCTCAACAATTAGACTCTTAAAAGTAACCATTTTGTTTTTCTTGTGCTTTTGTTCATTAAGAATCTAGGTGGAGTCTAGCTAGTGATCACACTGTTCCTCAAGACTCTGTTGGCTTTCAGCTGACAAAGGACTATCTGGAGGATCCAAGATGGTCTTCACTCACATATCTGTCATCTTTGTAGGTCTGGCTGAATACTGAGCTGAGCTGGGACTGGTGCCCAGAGTGCCTGCCCATACACTCCCTAGCAGGAGTCTCTCAGTGTATTTGAACTTCTTAAATAGAGAATCACAACTCCCAGAGAATGTTCCAAGAGACATGAAGCAAAACCTGCCTGTTTCTTATAACTTGGCCTGACACTGTACAGCATCATTTCTGCTGCTATTGGTGTAATAACTTGCCAGATCCAAAGGGAAGGAAAACAGATCCCACTTTTCAATGACAGGATTACAGAACTGATATAGAACTACAGCAAACGAAAACATGCTAAGTAAAAGAAGACAGACACAATAGAGCACATATTGTATGATTTACATAAAATGTCCAGAATAGACAAATCTAGAGACAGAAAGTATAGATTTGTACTTTCCAGAGGATGAAGAGAAAAAAGGAGTGACTGATAATGGGTGTGGGTTTTCTCTTTGGGGTCATGAAAATGTTCTGGAATTAGATAGCGGTAATGGTTGCAAATTCTGTGAACATACAAAAACCACTGAAATGTACACTTTTAAAACGATGGATTTTATGGTATATGATTTACATTTCCATTTTCTTAAACTAGCTCTTTCTCACAAATTATCAGATTAAATTTCACTAACATCTGCTCTGTTTTTTGTATGCTAGATTGGTAGACATACCACTTTTTAAAAATAAACATAATTCTAGGGATCTAAGTATTTCCTTTATATACTTAACCTCCATCGTTTCTCATCTTATTTCACAAATATGCACATATCCTTTACCTTTATAGACTATCGTAAAGATTAAGATATTAGAAACTCTTCTTTCTCTCAAGATATTCCAGCCTTGTTGCAACAGTTTAATTCTTATTATGACCATCATAGTTTGTTATGTCTTCTAGTATGTGGATAAAATAGACTAAGTGGCATTGCACTTCAGACAGGAAATAGAATCCAACTGTTGGATTTCTACACCTCTCTGATTTACATCTTGATAATTGCTATTGTTAATTTATTGCTTAACCTAACTGAAAACAGGTTTTTTTGTACTTTTTTTTGCATCATTACAGAATTGTGTGCAATCAGTGACATGTTTGTAGTTTCTGAAAGTAAACACAAATGCCTAGATATTTTTAACATAGAAAACATTCAAAAATCTTAACTTTAATGGAATTTGATAATGTATATTGTTATAAAAGTACTTTTTTCTTCTACTAGTAAGACTGCAATTTTTCCTGAAATGACATATTTGTGCATCTTGGTTTAGTGATGGTTACATTTCTAATCAATTATTTGTATCTTAGTTTTTACTGGTTTTAAAAGAATCCATTATATAAATAAACTTTTTAAATGGTTTCTGTGTATTATCTAGAGAAAACAGCTTTGGGCAGCTTATCTTCCACTTGCAAATTTGTGGAAATATAAGTATGTCAAAATAAAACATAGAAGAACCCTTTGTCATTCAAAGAATGTGATTATTTGACTATCGTGTGAATTATTTTGTTTTTAATGGAAGGGATTCAATCAAGGTACCTCAACTGAAGCTGCATAATCAAAACACATTAGCTAGTAATATCACTGACTTATAAACAAATCAATGCTTTTCTCTGCTTTCTGAATGTAGAACGTTGAGGTTATCTCACATGTTTAACCTGTCTGACGGAAGGTATAGAGATTAAGCCTCCACATATGTGTTCATATGTTCATGTACTCATGGGCCTCTAAGATTTTGGTTTTCTGTTAGAGTTCTTAAAAAGTATCTAAACTTTTATTTGTAGAAGCAGCTGCTATAAAGAAAAGGCTTTAACCTTTTTTAAAAATTGAGAAATAATGGACATATAACACATTAGTTTCAGATGTACAACAGAATGATTCAGTATATGTATATATTATGAAAAGATAACCACAATAAATCTAGTTAGCATCCATCACGACACATAGTTACAATTATTTTTTTTTTTTTGTGATGGGCTTTAACCTTTAACAACCAATTCTTTTGGCATTTTCTACAAACTACTTCTTAAATCACAGGCAAATTCTGATTTCTGATTTCAGTGAGTCTGTCTCAAAGGAGTAAGTTATGCCAAACAACACACTCAAGAGGAGGTTTTTAGGTCATTAGTTAAATACAAACAAGTAAAGACGTTTTCAGTCATGACTTGTTAACTGACATGGTATTAGCCTATAAAGAAAACCAAATCTGTATGATTCAAGTTAGATTTTCCCTTGAAAAAAGTTATCTGTGAATGCTCAGCTCTGGCCAAGGCAGATTTTACTTTCAATTCTTTGTTAGTATCACCTCCTCTGCTGAACTTTTTTGATGTCACCATACCTGTTTATTTTTCAGTCTGAAGTTTATTAAGATAGTTCTTTAAAATATGGAACATATAATGGTACAAATGGATTGTAAAATAAGAGTAGCTTTAACTTAAAGGGTAAAGCAAAATGCAGTTTTCACCTAGATTTTAACTTTGTTTACATTTTTTCTTTAAATTGATACACTAAAAATATTGTAATGAAGTACAACATGAAAAAATGACTTTGTCCTATCTCTCCCTGCTCTGTTATAATCATATTTTACTAGTAAAATGGTCAGGGTTAACTGGCTTCAGCATCAATACTGAATATTCACACATATGTCTGCACACATGCATGCTCTTTAGTAGGCCATGTTATTGGTTAATTCAAGTAAACTACAGTAAGTGGCATAGCAATAGGGATCTTGATACTTTGGTGTGGCTTGAAATCACCTCTCTACTTCAGGGTAGTGACTTTATACCCAAACCTCTCGCAGGGTGGAGCAGGAATCAAAGAATTATTTTTCCTTTAAATAAGAGTATTTATTAAAATAATATAAAGCTAAATCAAATAGAAGTATTACAGAAAATAACTTGGGAAGTTTAATTCTTTCTCTGTTTTCCCTATTTTACACTTATATAAATTTAAAGTAATCTTTAAGATATTCACACTGTTGAAGTAATTAAACAAGGAGGCCAACAGAACAGGGAGGCTCTAATGCCTTCACAGTCTACATAAACAAACCAAAACCTAAGCCAGTCTATGCACTCAAATCCAAGCAAATGAAACTTAAAAACAGCCAATCACAAACACTCCACTAGGCTTTCTCAAATAAGGCAGCTGCTTAAGCTATCACTAATCAAATAACTTCCTGGCTTTGCTTCTCTCTACAAACCACTCCCCCAGCTCCTGCTGGTGGAGTGCTCCACTCTTGGTGTGGCACTGCCTGACTGCCTGATTCTAATTGATATATGCTCAAGTAAACTCTTGAAATTTTTAATGTGTCTGTTTATCTTTTAACAACACTATATGACTAACTGTATAGTATCTTTTAATGCACTAATGTAAAATTGAATGTAATATCCCTTTTAACTGAATGTATATCTATGATCTCTTTTAATCTCTTTCTACATTCTCTTAATTACCTCAATTCCTTTTAATAAAAGTTTACAAGACTTCTGTTTTATGGTTTTATTCCTCCTTCAAACTGGGCACATAGTTTCTTCAAGTCAACCATGAATAATTTCCCTTTGAAGGACTGAAAATACATTTACATAAAGTCTCCCTCTAACTGACTGACTTAAACTTGATGCACTGATTTACACCACGAATTTCAAAAGGTGGATTACTGCTGTAAATGTGCTGGCCTAAATCTTCCAAAGATGGTTCAGGATCAGTTGTAGCAAACTGGGCTGCCTCATCAATTGATTGCCTCACTTCAACATCAATTCCCTTCAGTTCTTCAACACTGGCAAGCTTGTTGTTTACCATTTTATCTCTGAGAAGCATAATGGGATCACTCTTACTTCTTACATTCTGAATTTCTTCTCGTGTCCGATAACTGACTCCAGGATCACTCATGCTGTGTCCGTGATAGCGGTATGTCTGCAGCTCCATCAGTATGGGCCCCTTTCCAGATCTACAGTAGTCAGCTGCAAACTTAGTTGCCTCGCGGACACACAGAACATCCATTCCATCTACCTTGAGTCCAGGGAGGAAATTGCCTCTCTTGTAGTATTCAGTGCTGGCTGCTGCTCTCTCAACAGATGTTCCCATTCCATAGCGGTTATTCTCACAGATGAAAATACAAGGTAAATTCCACACAGCTGCCATGTTGTAAGCTTCAGATATCTGACCCTGATTAGCAGCGCCATCCCCATATATAGTTAAACACACCTCCTTGTTTTCTTTATATTTACAGGCCAGAGCAATACCAGCTCCCAGGGGTACCTGAGCACCCACAATGCCATTGCCCCCATAGAAGTTCTTGGTATACATATGCATTGACCCTCCTTTTCCTTTAGCACAACCACTTCTTCGTCCTGTCAGCTCTGCAAGAATTGATCGTACAGAAAGTCCACGAGTGTAGCAGAAACCGTGAGCCCGATAGGATGTGATGATGTGATCGCTGGGATTTATCCCGGCCTCAAGACCCACATAGCAAGCTTCCTGACCATCACACAAGTGACAGAAACCACGAATAAATTTCTGTTTATACAACTGATCTGCCTTCAATTCCATTCGGCGAATAGTCTGCATCATCCTGTAGTATTTGAGTCCATCCTCCCGGGTGAGCATTGCAGTGACGGGGGGACCGTCTTCCAACCGATAAAGATCACATTTCTTAATTTCAAATGTAGCATCATTTGAATAGTCACAGGATGCTACCAGCACTCTGCTAGTAGCAGGCTTCGGGGTGATGTCAGACAGCATGCGAGAGACAGCAGCGGCCAGCATCTTCCTCACTGAGCGCGGCGGGCGCACGGCTGCTGTGAGTCTTCAACAGCCAGGGCGGTTACTGCCCGCGCCTCCCGCAGGGCCCCTTTCCCCGCCGAACGTGCGCGTGCGCGGCGCCACGTGGTGCGCGCTGCCGGCAGAGGCCACGTCATGCCCTGCGGGGCCACCGGCCACAGCCTGGATCGACTGATTTTTACGCAGCCTTCCAACTGTAAAATTAAGGATTAAGGTCGTTTCTTTTCCTGGAAGACTTGGCTGAACTACAGCCTGTTCCTAATTAACGCCATTATCATTGCTGAAACACGATAACCCGAGTCCCTTTTACCTGCTAAACGCTATAGCAGTGCTTCTCAAATGTATCAATGGAGGAGAACAAATCAGAAACTAAGGCGCACAAGAGCTTGATTAGATTAAGCCGAAGATAATCTTACTAATATTTCTTTAAAATCTTTCTTTTTTAATCTTTAAAATATGTGTATTTTATCCTACTCCACAATATACCATATTTATTTTAATGTAAAAATAAAGATGTAAATGATTTGTAGTTTACTCAAAAAAAAAATACACTCTTAAAAGAAAAGTTGGTGCACCAGAAGACTATGCTACGTTTATCCCATGGCTTCTACCATCTCTCATCTGATGGGGGGTGGGGGAGGCGAGGAGGGCAACTGATGGTACACAAACCCCAACCTAAGAATAACAGTATAAACCCAATAACAAGCTTTGCCTGGTATGGGAAAATTGGAGGAAGTGCTGAAATGCAGATTGAAGTAACAACTAAGGAGTTTTGGTATGGCACCTTTCCTTACCCTTTATTGTAATTCTGAATCCTCTTCAGTTTCCCCTATTTTCTAATTTTTCTTTTTTTTTCTTTTTTGAGGGGTGGGAAGGTGGTCTATAATGTCTTCAACAGGTTTCCTTAGAAAATAATCAAGATTCAGATGACTTTGTTTTTTGCTTTTATGTCAAAGTAAATTGAACCAGTCTTAGTCTGGGAAATCAAGAGGCAGGTTCTAATAATATTTCCTTATATAGTAAACATGTAACTTCTTATACAGTGACCCACTGAACAATATACAATTTGCACTGAAAGAGAACAATAGAGTTTACTTAAGCAGCTGGTTCAATGATAGGACAAAAAAAGTCTTAGGCCTAGTGTTACAAAGATCACATATCATTTTTCTCTTTTGTGCTTTTTACTAGAAAGGTGATTTTGTATCCCAATAAGCCAACCACAAACAGGGATCCTGCTCTGTTTAGACTATTAAGCAATTCACCTTAATGCATGTTCTGTTTTGTATCCACCCCTTGTTTGTAAATAAACAAATAAAATACAAAATTCCTGTTTATAGTTAAATTCTTACTCAAATTTCCCTATGAAATGTTCAAAGCAGCTGTATCCATATTACAAGTGTTATTGTGGATATTTCTTCTAGTATTCAGGCAGGAAGGAGAAAATAGCTTGTTAAAAAGTTCTTATATCTCTTAACTCAATCTTTCCCCCACCTCCCCAAACCAGTCATCATAAATGGGCCTCATCTTTTCATTCAACTTAAAATTCTGCTTTTGGAATTCATGGTCTTGCTGGGTTGTTCACTCCTTCTTTGATAGTTAGCCTGTCTCTGCTGTTCTCTTTCATTCCTGCAGGTATTGGCAATCTCCAGGGAGCATTATCTCCATGAGAATGAGAAAAATGACACTGCATGATGGAACAGTAGTGTTAATGGGTCACTGAGTGACAGCTGAGCCTTCTCTCAGAGGTATCAGCCAGAGCTAGCACTGCCAGGAACACAAGAGCTATACTGTAAAGTGTGCTAGTTTAATCTTGTCACACATATAGCCTGGGATGCAAAGATAGAGCCCTCCTTAAAAGCCCAGTGTGACAAGGCTAAACCTGACTCATGCCAGAGGAAAACATGCAAAGATGCTAATTGGAAAATACCTGTGCTACAAGTCGCCATGGAAGATGGCCCTTATATTGCAACAGGCTCTGGTTAACATGATAAATAATAAAATATTAAACTTGCAGGGACCTCTTAGACCTATCAGTTACAGCATACAACCTAAATTCAACTTAAAAGATAGATGAAATCATATTTGCAGAATGTAATGTCGAAGTATTTCCATTAAAGAAGTGATTAAATCTGAAGATGATTTTTCTTTAACTTTATTGTTATGTTCCTAAACTCATCCACATTTTGAAAGTGAGAGTAAAATTTCCAGATGTCATTGTAAAAGTTTAAAATTCCCCAAGGAGATCCAGAGCTGTTGAGCCTCTTCTCTCATCTGCCCCCAGCTAGACAGGATTCAATATACTTGGACAATAGAGCCAGTGACTCTTTCCTGCTAATGATTTATATTTTGTCTTATCATTGTTCAACTGTTTATTAACAAACAGAACTGAGTCATCTACGTGTTTACCACTGAAATGTCTGCAACTAAAATCTCCATAAATTCTTAAGTTTTTAATTAATGCCAAATCTCACTTTTAATCTATTTGAAATTAAAGGAAAACAGATGAGTACTTATTTATAAGGCCAATAGTAGACTTTACATTTAATTAATTAAAAAAAAACCTGATAAAAGAGGAGTCAGTCAGTTGATTAGAGTAGCAGTCATTCATGTCAGTGTGACAGAATTTCACATTTCATGTGTAACGCTTGATCTTCCAGGGGCATTTATGAATTCATCTTAAAAGTGTCACCCCAGTTGCATCAATAGCATATGAAATATTTTTAATAAGCAAGAAGGAAATATTAAAAAAGGAACAGCATGTTTGAAGAATATTTAAATTCCTCTGGTAATAATTGCACACTTTCACCAAATGCTAAGTAAAGAAAGCTGTTAAAGAATGAATATGTTCTGCATAAATAATATCAGATCTCATTATATGATTAGTGGTAATGTATTTTTTTCATAGCTCTAAGATTTGGCAATTAAAAGTGATGAGTAATAACTTGGTGAAAAAAATTAAGAGTTACATACGACTTAGAGAAGAATATTTCCCATTTGATCTATTTATCTCCCTTGGAGAAAAGACTATGTCACTACCATATATTCTGCAAAATAATGACAATAATGGAAGTAAGGTTCCTCTCTAATATTATAATAAGTGAGGTTATTTCAGAACAGTTCAGAGCCCTGGGCAAACAATATTTTTTTTCTCCTCATCCCCATCATAATTCTGAAGTATCATTAAATAAACATTCAGGACAAATTATCATGAAGAGGAAACTTATTTGCAAATGAGATAAAGTGAGGGTGCTCCTCATTCCAAATAATGATGGTGTAAGGAAAGGAAAGACATTTATGGGTTAATTTTTAGTAGCAACTAATGGAGCCATCTTCCTCCTGCTAGACGAGCAGAGTCATCTGAGTCATCATGCCCACAGTACCCAACCCTTATCCCTAGGGTCTGGGACCAAGGTCTAGCAGCTAAAGACTGTAAAAGAAAACTTTCCAAATATTTAAATAAGCTCCCTATAATTAAAGCTGAAATTGACTGTGGCCAAGTGAGATAAGAAATAAAAAGTCATGAATAACCTGCTGTCAAGATTTACAATGGCCTAATGTCTCAATCAGTATAGATGTCAAAAGCTGTGAACTGATTTATGCTCAGTACTTTTGAGTTGCTTTATAAAATCACAGTCCCAATTCAAAATAAAAATAATCAATCCAATTCATGTTTGTAACAAATCAAAGCAAATTCAAGAAAGCCCAAGTTAGGTCTATTTGCAATTCCTCCAAAAATTATTATTTACACTTCTTGGGAAAGTTTTTTGTTCAGATTTTAATTCTCACATACTTAAAAACACATATCTCAAATTTTTATTACCTAAATACACATTTATCTTTAGGAACTTTAATTTTAATAGAAATAAAGTATACATTAAACGTGATCATAAAAATAAACTTAATACATTCAAGAGTGAAATGATGGCTTCTCTCCTCTGAACAAAGTCTTTTGTAATATATTAGTCTCTTAAATGTACCATTTTATTGATGTTTTCTATATATATGTCCTCTAACAACATTTCCTTCTAACATCTTTGGGTAGATTATTACCTTTTCTAGTATCAGCATGTGATAACATAATTAGCACATTTGTTTCCTTTGACTTCACTTTGAGGAAGAACTGAGTCACTGAACCAGGCTTAAAGAGACAAAGGATATTGGCAAAATTCCAGGGCACTGCTGCCCCCTAGAAGGAAGTCTGAGCAGCACATCTGACCATTCAGACAAATCTTAGGAAAAGAGAGAATCTGAAATTTAGCACCCCACTTTAATAACCTACTGCTGGCTGCATGGTCAGTTTTCTTTGCTCTCTTCTTGTCTAAGCTTGGGCACAGAGTTGCCTTATCACATCCTAAACTTTGATCCTAATATATCCCATGGCTCTCTCCAAAGATTCCTGTGAATATGTACAGGCATACAAACAAAATTTTCTCTACAAAATAGTATTTTTAAATAATGAAGATAGAATTTTAAGCTATCATATCCATTAATCTGAGATTTAAGGCACTGTTGTGAACATTGCTGAGGTTTGTGAAAACCTTGCATCTCTTTGCTAGAGATACAAAGTTTGCTTATTTGATTCCTACAGAGACAGGTAAGGTACTGTCTATTATTCTCAGTTTCTATATGAGGAAACTGGGGCCTAGGGAGTTTAGGTGAATGGCAAAAAATTACGAAGCTAGTAAAAAGCATAATATTTATTCTTTGCTTATTCAGCACATACAATGAAGTGCTTTCCTTCTATATATCCCCTTTCTATACTAAGCAGTAGAAATAAAATGATGACATACAGTAAGATTTCCCTCTACCTAATCCGGTTCATATGGAGGTGCTGTGCTGTAAACTCTCTCAGGTTTTCCGGCATTGCGTGTGGAAAAGGACACATCATCACTGAGTGACAGAGGATGCAACACATGAGCAGCTGTTAGAGAGGCAATAAAACTAATGTATTGCATTCCGGGCAATGGTTACAATGACAGTTTGTCTTTATT